TTCAAAAAACAAAAAAAGGCGCACTTGGGGATTAGCATATATTAGCACCCTCAGGCTAATACCAAGTCGAGGCACTAAGCCACGAAGGGAGGAAAAAGCCAAGGAGATCGAAACAAAAGAAGCCAAAAAGAAACTAAACGAAGATGATTTACTCTAATTATTTAAATTAAAATTGATACAGTACATTTTCTATACAAATGATAATAATATCTAGTAGAATTGTTCCTTTAAATCAAAGTGTAACAGATGTTTAGTAAAACAAATAAACAATAAGTAATCTTGTTATTTAAACACTTAAACCCCAGCTAGTATAAACAAACTATAACATATTTAATCCTAATTTATGTTACCACTTTTTTTAAACCTCTCTACACATTTCCTAAACAAACACAAGTCCTGTACAATCCCCTATATATATTTTTTGAGACTAACCCAAGAAGGCTAATACTATTACCACTTTTAGTTGGGGGTCTCCAGGTTGTAGGTGGTTTTGGTGTTGACTCCGGTGGGTGGTGGTGGTGGTGGTTCGCTGGGTGAGTGAGTGGTTTCCTTTAAAGTCCGACTCTTTGTTCGTCTACCAAAGGCTTATAGACTTAAGCTGGGCGAAGCCCAGAGCGGTGGCATAAATTAAAAACTCGGATATTGTTTCAATCGCTGACATTGTCTAATCTTGAAGTTTGCAATCTGGAAATCGAGTGGGGACTTTGCTGCAGTTTCGAGGGGAAGTTGGTACCCCAAAAGCGGTTGCTTTGACTTTCGATACTCGTCGTGTTTTGTCGCATGCCCAAAAGCCTTTCAATTAAACCAGCTGCACGTTTTTTTTCACTGTGTGCTGTCTGTTGGGAAAAATGCATTTTAACGCCAAACTTCGACAGCGACAAAATAAAAAAATACAAATAAATAAAAAATGGTAAAGCAAAGCACAACAGCTTTAAACAACTACAAAGTTGTACATTTTATATAAATTGGAAGTACAGTGGTTATTTGATAAAGAAAGGAAATATAAATTATCTATAAAGGTTCTTTTAAGGAGAATTAATAGAGTTCAACCTTAGCTTTTAACTGAATAACATTTCATTAAATAACATTTATCTTGAAATATTAGTATATTCAACACAAATTTTTCTATCCAATATAATTAAAACATTTGAAAGGAAAACATATTCCCCAAATATTTACCTAACAAACTTTAATCATCAAAATTATATATTCCATAAGAACCCCATTCTTTCCCTCCAGATGGCTCTCTTTAAGCTCAAAATTAGCCAAACATCGATGACATTCTGATAAGAGAAAATTCCCTTTTAACAAACCAAACCCTCCCATTAAGATGGCATCTATCGCTTAATTGCGAGTCTCCACTGTATGTGGTAAGCATATTTTGTTACATTTTGAGGCCAACTTGGGTTGGGGCACAAACAACAACTATTTCGATCCAAACTGGCTGCTGTTTTCTGTATTTTTCTGGGCCTGACTCATGATCCATATGCCGCATATTGATACAGTTTTCTGTTCGTTTTTTTTCCAGTTCAACACAAAAAATCGAGGAAAAGAAATGATATATATATGTAGATATATAGCTAAATGATGTATGACGCTGGGTTGGGCTGCAAAACTGGAAAACTGGAAGTGGAAACGCACAAAGACCATGGTCTATTCGTAGCCATTGAACTGGACATGGATTTTCTTCAGAATTTCCCACTGCCAGTGCCAAGTGAAAAGCGGAAAAAGAAGCAAGAGATTAAAAACCATTTTAATTAATCATTTATTTGCTCGCAAATGAAAAAGCGACAGCGATAAAAAGTCAAGGCCTGCAAAGCATCCGGTTCCTTTCACAAAAGTCATCCGCCAAAAAATAAAAAGGAGTAAAGAAAAACGTTTATAAAAAAAAGGGGGAAACCCAAACACGGCTGAGCTGGCCATAACCTGACATTTGGCAACACGAATTGAGTTAATTAAGTTGCCACGCTCCTTCGACACCTGCACTGGCACTCTCTTTCCACTATTATTTTCCTTTTTGTTTTTCTTTTTTGGGTGTTTTCGATACATTCACTGGAGTGTCTATAATCTTGGTGAGCAAAAAAAATAGAAATGAAAACTTGGGTGTTATCGGCGGCCCACTTCTTCGTGATAAGTTCCACCCACAAAGCAAATATTAAACGATCATTTGCCAAAATAATTACATGATGTCAGTTGTATTTGAAGGTCTTTGGTAGATAAGTATTAAGTATTATGGTATATAAGAAGTTAATTGAATGTTAGCTTTGTCGGAGATAAATAAATAAGAAATACATAAGAAAGCTAAACTCACATTGTCTAATTAAATTAAAATTTTTCACTCCAAACATCTCAATAATAAAATAAACTCCGCTAATGTGATCCTCTAAAGTGGTTTAAGCCATTTCAAAACACCAACCAACTATCTTAGCATTTTTCAAACAAACATTAAATCAAAAGCTGACAAATCAATTCCTTAGCAAATTAGATAAGAATGATTAAACGAGTTTTCACTTCATGTTCGAGTGCCATAAAGAGAGAATCGTTTAGGCCATATTTAGAAGAGAAGAAAAGCTACAGCTAAGAAAGCAGCATTTTGTCTGGGATAAACGCTTACAGATCGCCAAGCGACACTTTACTTTCTGTGCAGTTAGAAAGTCGCATTTTGCGACTAATGGCGAAATATGATAAACGACAAGACAAGACACTTGATGAACACTTTCCCAGCAAAAAAAACTGGGAGTCTGGTCATTAGAAGAAAACTCCGTCGACAAGACTGGCAAGACAACTTTGCATTGGTTTTGTTTTGGCTTTTAGCTGGCGCAAAAGTAGAACAAAAAAAGTAGAGGAAAATCGAGACGGCTTTTCCGAGATGAGGAAAAGTGGATGCACACACATACTGACACACACATTTTGCTTTCAATCTCTTTGCCAAGTAGCCAGTGCGGATAACATGGCGTATGAGCAATGTGCAACATCAAGGCAGGTGGAAAATTGCGGGGCAGTGGAGTGGCTCCTGGCGGATCATATGGGCCAAAACAATTAAGGCTGTAAATGAAGTTGTTTGTTGTAGTTGTTTTCTAGTATCTAATGGTGGTGGTCTGCGGGTGGTGGGCGTGGCTGGGTGGCAATTATGTCCAGCAGCCGTGTAGAAAGACGGAGAGGGGGAAAAATCATATATGCATCCATCTGCATACACGGAAAATGCAGGGAAAATAAAGCAAGAAAGCACTCCTCCTCCTCGCGAGCCAATGTTTTCTGCTCCAAAAAGCTCAAAGCGGCTGTGAAAATGCTGAATTTTTCCCAGTTTCCATCTCAAGGTAAATAATAAACAAGGAAAAATCATTGGGTTTTAAACTGTTGCAGTTAATGAAATCGAAAGGCAGACACAGATAATATTTAAAAAAAAAGGTCTACCAAAAATTGCAAATGGCAAATGTAAATTGCGTGTGAAAATGCTGTTTGATTATCCCCAATGTGTGACCTTGAACTTTGGCACCTCAGAAAAGGGGCGGAAACCTGAAACTCAGCTCAACAGAACAGACATCAAACTCGTTAAATCAAAATGCCTGCCTTGCCCACAGCTTGATTAATTATTGCGCATTACGCAAGTCGAACGTAGAAAACTTTAGTGATTTTTTTCCCTTAGAGGAAACAACAGGGAAAACAAATTAGAAAATTGTTTGCCGCAAATTGCGCTGCTGACATTTGCAAAAGTTTTGTTGCGTTTTCCGCTCCTTTGCCAAAACCAAAAGAAAATTATCTGGCATGCGGTAAGGGAAAATCAAATTTTGGATAATAATTAAGGTGGTTTACGATTTTACAATTTTGGCGTTAAAGGTTAAATAGGTAAGGTCAAGCTTTCAATAATGGGAAAACCATAGTTAAATGACTATAAATAATGAATTTTATTTTGATTTATTCATTTTGTTAGAAGATAGACTTAAGTTACAGTTGAAGGCTGTTATTAAATTTTGAGAAGCGCAGAGAGAGGCGCATTTAAAGCCTTTGAGAAGTGCAGAGAAAGGATCAACTCACATACATACATACGCATACATTTATACATTTTGGTTTAATCAATTCAAGTGTTATATGCGATTTAACTTTCCATAACACCAAACTTTCGAAGACCCCCAAAAAACAATAGCTCCAAATGCCGCTTGACATCTTGTTGGCCAAAAAATAACAAAGTTCGACCATAACCCAAGGAGAAAAACTTAAATTGAAATGTCATCTGGTGAATTACCCTCCAGAAAATCTGCACTTCACTCAACCCCTTCCCCAAAAAATACTGAACTTTTATTGGCCCACAAAGGGGACATTTGCATCTCAAAAAAAATTTAAATGAACGCGTGGAAAATGCACGACAACGAAAATAGAGGGGACAAAAGCCAGAGGGCGGAGGGGTCATAATTAATGGAAAACAAGCGTCTGCTGCACTCGTGGATCCATTCATGAACAATATGGAGTAATTTATGATGGGGTCACTGATTTTCTCTTTTTTTTTTAGTTTTGCTTGGAGTCTGCGTGTTTTTTAACGACTTTTTTTTGCACTGTTAGGGGGTACATTAATTTAACCTCAAAGTTTGCAAAGGGGTGAAGAATCCCTATCTTTAATTATGTAAAGTGTATTATAATTTTAAATTTTGATTGGGAATTTTGTTTCTCAACATTTGGAAATATGTATTAAATATATATTTTTGTTCCTTTTACATTAAACAAAATTAATCCATTTATACATCATACAATTCATATTTTTTTCTATATATAATATAGAAATATAAAAAAAGTTTGGATGAAAAATTATATATATATCATATATTAAATAAGAACTTATATCTTTCAAACTCTTTTTCAAAATAGGCTCCTATCATAAAAATCTTATCCCAACCATAATATTATTTGTTAAAGAGTATTCCCATCTTCGACTAGATTGTTATTAGCTTTTACTGTGAATTTGATTTTTTTTATGAATTTCTTGTTTGTTTATTTTTTGCACTCACTTTGTCGCTGCGCTCGTAATTCGCTGGGAACTTGGGCGAGCCAAAAAACGATGAGGCGATGGGGTTAACGGCGACTGTGATGCCGACGTTAGCGGCGACTGCAGAGACGACTGCGACTGCAGCGCCATACGCTGATGATGGAGTGTGGAAAGCGTCGGCGTCGATGCCGACAGCGACGCCGGGGTCATGATTAAATGCCGCATTATTCGGCGAGATTCAACTCCACCTACCGGCCGACCCCAACAACAACTGCTATATTTTCACTAATTTTTCTCACTTCTCACTCGCCCTTTTCACTGGTTATTATTTGTGGTGTGTTTGTTGGATGTTTTCCTTTTGTTTAACTTTTTTTTTATTATTTTTGCTTGCTCTGCACGCGGCGATTTACATTTCAACAATTACATTGTTTTTGCCGTTTGTTTTGGTCAACGTTTCGATACGATCCGCTTGCTTTTTGCTTTATTTTATTTCATTTGTTTTTATTTGCTGTTTGTGTGTTTGTATTTTCCCCTACTCACTTTAATTCACTGTAAATGTCAATTGCCATTGTGGGACAAAACATTTTGCTAAACAAAAAAAAAAAACAACAACAGAAATTTAATAAGCTAAATTCAACAGCTGCCGGCTGTTGACAGAACGAAACAGTCACCGCCAAATGGGTTACGTTCCAAATACCGCAAATAAAGGTATATATTTTATTCTATATCAGCCCCTCTTTGATGATATATTTTCTATTTTTAAACTAATTAAGGGTTCTTTGAAATTGTTTAATAATAGGTTCAAATTTTGACTTGATTTTTAATCAATTATTATAGATCTTTAGAGGTCAAATAATTTTACAGAAAATAAATAATTAGCAAAGGCTTTGTAGGAAGGTATTAAGTTGAATATTTCGGAAAAAAAATATCAAACTAACCTAAATCATGCATTTTAATTTAAATTTTTCTGTATATTAAAATAAATAAATACCCTAAGGAAATTGATTTTGAATTAAATAATGTCTTTAGTAAATTACATTTTCACGTTTTCTATAAATTGCTTATAAAAGTTTTTTCCTTGTAATTTTTTTTCTAAAATTACTTTAAATGTTATATTTCCCCTCATATTCTTTATAATATTTGTTTAACATTTAAAGTACTTTAACGCTTAGCAAATATTCCCATGCAATTGCACATTTCCTCCACCTTTTTTTCATCTGTTCTCTCTTTTTTTGCCTCTTGTTTTCCCCCTATCTTTAATTGCCTTTATTTTTATCACCTTGGGCTCCTCTACAAAATTTGCGTTTCCTCCTTTTTATTTGTTGTGTTGTTATCGCTTATCACATTTTTTTCCTACTATTTCAATTCCGATTCAGTTTGTTGTTGTTTTTGTTTGTTTCTTATTGCCTTAACAAGTATTAATTCGCTTTTCACTCTTTTTTTTGGGTTGACGTGAGCGAATCTTATCAGGTGGGAAAACGAAGTAAATAAATGGTAGTGCAAACATTAACCCGTATTTTTTACTGTTTAATTTGTATAATCAATTCATTTTTAATTGACAGTTTCAGAACGCTTTGAGCTTTTGCAAAATGTTCCAATTCAGTTTAAGTTTTTATCTCTTTTTTTTATCTATTTTTTTAGTGTTTATTTTTGGTCTGTCGAGCAGCATATCGCATTTTTGATAAGCATTTGCAAAGTATCATAAAAAACAGAATTCAGATAAATTACGTATACGCCATGGGGTAACGTAGGGTAACTATTGAAAGTGTTTTTAACGGAGAAACAGTTTATAACAATTTCAGTTTAAAAAATTATAGTATATTATTTATTAAAGTTTTATAATATACAGATAACTCAAGGGTTTTTATATCTGCAAAATGCATTTAAAAACCAATAAATTAAAATAAATATCAAAATGAAAACCAAATCAATTTTTATTAATTGAACTTTGACTTCTAATTATATATACTTATTAATGCAATATTTAATCTTTGTTTTTTAATGACTTTGACAATTTTCAATTGCTTTTTAATGTACTCAGTTCACAGTTTATTCTCATTTGCATATTTGGCAGTGATCTAATCACTTAACTAATTAACCAAAAGAATCTCACAACTGTAAATTGACTCGAGTTATTTATTTATTTTTTTGCACTTGATGCAGTGGTTTTTTCTTGGCTCTTTTACAGGTTATATAACGTCATTTTGATCATTAAAACTGAGCGTCATCAGTTAATTCCTTTTTCTTATGTTGCTTTGGTTTTTCTTTTTTGTTTTTCTTTTTTTCAGTCGACCGAATTACACGCACCGAAAATGTACAAAAAAGACACAAACAAACAGCATTCGAAGGTCATTTCGCAGTTTTTGGGCAAATTAGAAACATGAAAAACACAACAGACTAAAGCTTACAATAAAAAAAATAACAAACGTAATTTAACAAGATTTAAGCGGGTCAAATTCAATTTGTTCAACAGCAAACAAAGACTCACAAAATATTACTTTTATTTTACAGGTTGTTAATTTTGTGGGATTTTCATGTTACATTTTCCGTTGATTGGACTTTTCATAACAATTTTCCGAATTGCACAAAACTAAATTGCATGCGATTCTGTTGCAAATACCAATACATATGCAACCAGCCGCGACGCGAAGAGAGCCGCAAAGCGAACGGGCCGATAAAACAGTGCACAGAACAGAGGAAATCGCGGCGTTCCAATTGGAATACGAATTGGAACTGAAAGGCGGCGAGCGACCAAAGCAAACGAAGCTAAAGGCAGAGTGCCAGCAGTAAAGTCAGCGGCGCAGCCAGAGCAAAGCTCAGAGCAAGTGAGAGAGAGGGACAAGACAGCGATTACGAGAGAGAGAGAGAGCGTTAGTAAAAGCAACTAACGGGGCAACAGCTGACAAATAATAACAGAAAAACCTTTTTGAGAGAGAGATCCCCACTCTCTCGCTCTCTTCCAGAGAAAAAGGTTGGCGGCAATCAGCTGATATCACACAGAAAAATATTATCTATAAAAATATTAATAAAAAAACTTTAAAACCTTAAATACTTAACTAATTTTCCAAACTGTTAATTTAAACTTTAAAGAAAAATCCGAATAAGATATTAAATATTTTTTGTAACTACTAAATAATACACTACCATTTTTATAAATTACCAAAAAACATAAACAATTTATAAATAAAATATAGTCAAAGCAATGTAAATAATAATGTATTTAAAAATGATCAATTTTCTTACAGTGTAAATTTGATTACATTTCTTCGGAAGAGGGGTCCCCACTATGAAAGCTTTTCTCTCTTGCTCCTTTCTCTGACTCTCTACAGTTTCTCCTTCCTCAGCTTTACCCTTTCCTCTCTTTTCACCCAAACACACACTCATAATGCATTCGATTTATTTTTATTATTTAATAGGATTTTCAGTGGGAGGATGGATGGGTGTTTTTTTGTGGGTGCTCTTCTGCCTGTCTGTCTGCGTGCATTGAACTTGACATTAAACAATGCAATTGTTTTGTATTTAGTAATTGCGTGAAATTCGAGCTGTTTTTAATTGTGGGTTACCTTTGTGGAACCTAAGTTAGGTGTGTGTGTGTGTGTATTGATGGTTAATGAACTTATTTGCTTTGGTCTTGGTGGGTGGTGTGGGGCGGAATGTGGGTCGGTTGGAATGACAATCGAGGGAGATGATTGATGAAGGCCGTTTTTGTGTGGATGCTAATTAGCTGAGTTTAACTTTAAGTGAATGATATGCACAAGTTGCTGGTTTTTGCCACAAATTATTATTAATAAATTTTAATTACAGTATTTAATTAAGTAAAATTTAATGAAGAAGAAGGACAATTCTATAAATATTTAATCATTAAGCAAACTTGATAGCATTTTTTGAAAATTTCCAAACATTAAGTCACTTTCCCAACCAACTATTTTTCAATTAAAAATTCAGAAATAAAAATCCAAAACTCCATTGAATCCCAACGCCAACTCATGGCCAGTCAGCATTTGAAAAGTAAAAATACTTTTTGTTGAATGCCAGCAAATTAATCAAAACTCAACAGATGGGTATAAAAAAAATCAACAAAAAATTATAACAATCGGGTAAAAATATATAAAACAAATAAATGACACAACCCATTCGAGAGCTGCAGTTTGTGGGCGAAGTTCGGCTGAATGCAGCTCGCAACTTTCCATTTTCCGCTGCAGGCCAAGAAGATAAACAAAAAACACAAAAAACAAAAAACGCTTGGGAAACTGGATCACACTCGCTGCAGGCGGTCGTTCATTTAAGCGGGATTCGACGGTGACAAAGAAAACTCACCAACGAAACCAACTTTCAGGTATTCAATCCCCCAAACGATCGGCAGATCGAGTTCAATGAAAGGCAGCGAAAGGAGATGTCCCAACAAATGCATATTGTATCAATAGTCTTTTCATAGAAGATATATTAAATATAATACAAAGACTCAAAGGAAATACTATAAAAGTTATTATTTATCTCTTTTTTAGTATTTATTGTGGTTTTTCGAACCGCATATCACATTTCTTGATAAGCATTTGCAAAGTGTCATACAAAACAAAGTCAATATAAATTACGTATACGCCATGTGGTAATGTAGGGGGAATATGATTATTTGAAACGGAGATATTTAATTTTTAATTCGATTTAGTTTATTTTTTATCTATTTGTTAGTACTTATTATTGTTTTAACAAGTTTAGAAATTTTTTTTTTTTTTTTTTTTTTTTTTTTTTTTTTTTTTTTTTTTTTTTGTATTTTTTTTTTACAAGTTAAGCAAAATGTCATACAAAAAGAGTTCTGATAAATTACGTATACGCAATGTGGTAACGTAGGAGGAACATTGCAAGTGTTTTAAGCCAAAAAACAAATTCATAATTCGATTTGAAAATTATAGCTTCAATATCTGAGTACTTTATATATAAATTTCCAATTAAAACAAGATCACAAAAAAATAGATTTCATATATATTGCGTATACGCCAGGTTCACCGTAGGGAATATATTGACAGTGTTTTAAACGGATATATTCAATTCATAATTGGATTTTAAAATTAAATATTTAATATCTGCCTATTTTATTCATTAATTTAAAGTAAAAAAAAACAGAAAAATTTGGATTAATTGCGTATACGCCATGGGGTAACGTGGAGGAATATTAAAAGTGTTTTAAACGGGGATATTCAATTAATAGTTGAATTAGTAGTTAAATTATATATATTCATGATCAGCATTGAAGACTTACCCTATCCATTAACTGTTCATCGTTGCGCTTGCGCCTCGCTGGAGCTCTTATAATGCGTCCCACATCTGGAGCGTCCATGATAACTGTTCACTGCTCAGCCGGGGTTTCGAACCAGCGCCAATCACTTATACGCGAGCGTCGGGCGGTTGCTGGATCCGCTGCTAACAACTTTGAGCATTTAAAATTATTGCTTCGAGTTCGTTTTTTTGAGTACAACTCAAAGCTTTCGGTGTGCCACAGAGCTCACAATATCCGTTGCATACTTTGCAGCTGGTCGCATTTGGCTCGACAATTTGGCAGTTAATTTGTTTAATTTTTAAAATGATTTGCGGATATATTATATCTTTTATGGCAATTTTAGAATTTGTGTCTTGGAAGCAATGGTTGCAGTTGGCTTTTATTATTTAGCAGGCATCAAGCTGTAAAGGAGAGGGAATTTAAGATTAGTATATGGGAAAATGATGTTTTTGAGAATAAGAAAAACTTAGTGGGAGGAAATTTAAAAATTAATTATAGAATTGTAAGCTTAACTTTAGCTAGTAAGTAAAATTGTTGATCAAATATCTTTTTAAAATGATTTAAAAATAATCCCTTCTTACTTTCCCCTTCTTTATTACGAAAAAGGAGAAACTTCTAATGAGAAGCCATTCAAATTCAGTTAGTTAGAAATACAAATTAAATCAAAACTTTCTTCCATTTAATCAGTAATGCAAAAAATGCATAAAAAGTACCTATTCACTCTGTTCTTTTTATTATATTTAGTTTGCCGTAAGCACACTTTTCCGGGCCAATTTCCACCCGCACACCACTTGCACACCTTCTTCAGAAGCAAAGTTTTCCCCCATCGGTTTTTAATTCTTTTTTTCCCGGCTTCCGCTGAATAAAATATGATTTAAGGTTCAAGGCAACTGAAGGCTTTCAACTGCAACAATGTCAATTTGCTGCCTGAAGAGCTGCGGCTGTTCGTCTCGGGGCTAACTATTTTGTCGGTGTTGGTAAATTGATTTTGACGACGTCGAGTGGCTAACAGAAACTTATAAAATAGTCAAGAGTTTAGAGGAAAAGGCGAGAGCAGCAAACTAGCAAGAAACTAATCAATTTACTTTGTTTAAAACTGATAAAGTGTTGGCAAGTTGGTGGAGCAATTAAAGTTTTACTTTCACTTGTAGCTGCAATAGAAGTGTTCTTGTAATTATATTTTATTGTAAAGACAGTGATTAGCGCGCTCTCTCTCTCTAGCATTCTCTGTCTCTCTAAATCTCAATGTTTACATTATTCTCAGACTGCCTCTCCTTTACTCTCGCTTGCTCTGCCTGCCTCTTGCTCTATGCCTCTCGCTCTCTCTCTCAATTTGCTGCCTACATATAGCTCTTTCACTCTGCCTTTCTCTAGCGGTACCCCTTTCTCTTCCGCTCTCACTTTCTCTGTTCTCTTTGCACGGCGACTATAAATACAGGCACACCAGGCGCGCTGCCCTCAGTCTGTCCGTGGCATGCCCCGTGTTACATCTATGACGATGATAATGATTATGGTAGTGATAGTGATTACCCTTCGACCCAAAAATATATTATCTGGCCAATGTAATTAATTTATATCAATTTGTATTAAGAACATTACTTTAATCAAATTAACCTCTAAAATTTGTTTTCTTTGATGTTTATTTAAAATTCCTTTCCAACATAGTGTTAATTTTCTTATTATGTATTACCTTTTCAGGAAATTAAATCTTCAACTCATTAAGCATTCAATACTTGCACGCTTAATTAGGTTTTCCCGCGTTTAATGGCTCGAATCAAACTCAAACACAATCGCAAAACTCAAATCAAGTCACTGAAGCAATTAGACAAGTCTGCAAATCAATTGAATCAACAGTGACAGCGAAAAGTTCGTCACTTCCCAGCCTATTGACAGATCATTTAAGATGCAGTCGGGAAGTTCTGTCTGTCGTTCCAAAAACGGTTAACAATTGACAACCAATAATGGTCAAGTGACGTCTTCGAAACACATTAAAAGCTAATGATTCATCATTTTATTGAGGGTTTTTGCCAATTTTACACACTTATGGCCCAGATTGATAAGCCAAGATGAGTGTCGTGTAATTTGAAATGATTTCATTAGGCTCAAGGTGAGTTTATCTACTGCTACGCGATAAATGTTAGTGGGTCGATTGTGGTTGTGGTTTTATATACATACTTCATCCATTCGCCTTTTGTCTATATGCCAGCTTTAATTAAACAGCAAAACAAGGAAATACTTGTAATTAATGCGCAAAAAGGTAGCAACAACAAAACAATGACTAAGTGATTACAGATACAAAGCGGGTAAGAAAAAAAAACACATAGAGAAGACGATGGCGAACCCTCAAAAACCT